CACACACACACACTCCCTCACACACAGACACACTCCCTCACACACACACAGACATACTCCCTCACACACACAGACACACTCCCTCACACACACACTCCCTCACACACACACTGACACACTCCCTCACACACACAGAGACATACTCCCTCACACAGAGACACACTCCCTCACACACACACACACACACTCCCTCACACACAGACACACACACACAGACATACTCCCTCACAGACACAGACACACTCCCTCACACACACACTCCCTCACACACACACAGACACACTCCCTCACACACACACATAGACACACTCCCTCACACACACACAGAGACACACTCCCTCACACACACAAGGCAGACAACTTTCAGACCTAGGAACTGGTGTTGAGGACATTTCTGTGTGTAATACTCAAGGGCAACAATTAAACAGCAATAAAAGCAAGGAAGGATTAATTGATCCCTTAGCTGAAAGGGAAGAAGAAACACCAGAACATGAAACCAACAAGATGTATATATTTGAAAGCATTAAATTCACTTGCTGGATTTTCAAAATCGGGAACAAAAAAGCTGCTCAGTATCATATTAAAACTCTCCTCAAAATCAAGTCGAACACAGAGTGCAAGTGTACCTCACTAATACTAATTCAAAAAATCAATTTACAATAAAGGTTTTATTCTGCTATTTAATTTGCTTGTCCATGTTTTGATCACTTGGAAGTCACCTAGAGTAAGGGCTTCGGCCAAGAAAAAAAGAATTAAAATAAAGCTAGTTTGTAGAACAGTATAAAAAGGAAAAGGGAACAAGTAAAGGTTAAAGGTTAAAGAAAAGAAACATGTTTCAGCTGTGGAGCCTTCTTCGGGGGAAAATTCTCTCCCTTTTTCACAGTTCCTCAGCCCCCGACGACTTTGTAATGACGACATGGATTTCCACAATCAAGCCCTCAAAATGCACTTTTTTTCATCAACAGAGGATACCCCACCCATGTTATCGACAGGACCCTCACCCGAGCCAAAAGCAGCCCTCAGATCATCAACTCAATCAGGAACTCCCGGCTTCACAACCACATTCCATTGGTGCTTCCTTACCACCTGAAGACCCTTTCTATCCCCAAGTGCATTAACTTGACAACTTCCCCTGACACCCACAATGCTGTGTTTCTTTTCTTCTCAGCATGGAATAAACCTTTACTTGTACTTTTGCAGCCTTCACATGCTGACGCAGCTAGCCACCTGAACTAAAAAGAAAGAACTAACATTTTAACCGACCAGCACCTTTTGCAACCTACCCATGCTGACGCAGTTACCCACCTGAACGTCTTCAGCTCATTTCTACTGCGACCCACTATCTCTTCTGCTAAATCTTGTTCTGGATCTCATCGTCATGACCTTCTCTTCCTTCATGGGGTACTTGCCTGCTTCTCTCACTAAAGCGAGGCCCCGACTCACTGTGGTCATTAAAAATCGCAGGGCGTTTCTCAAAAAGAGTAGGGGTGTAACCCCGGCGTCCTGGTCAAATTTCCTCCTGGCCTTCACCAGTCATGGTCTCCTAATTATCCCCATCTACTTGTGCACTCTGGCTGATGTTGCATCATCCAGGTGGGGATGCACATTGGTGGTGGTAGTGGGATTCCCCATTACCTGTAAAGAGCTTTGAGTGGAGTGTCCAGAAAGCTGCTATATAAGTGTAAGGAATTATTAATAATTATTAAACCGGCATTCTCCCACGCTTCATTTACTGCTGGTTTCCCTCTCTCCCTCTCACCCGAAGAAGGCTCCCCAGCTGACCGTTGTGTCGCCCTCCTTTCCCTTCCAGCATTGGAATAAACCTTCACCTGTTCCTTTGCAGTCAACGCATGCTGACACAACTCCCTACTTGAACTCCTATTATTACATTTTATCAATGAACTTGATTCTGGTATAGTCAATAGCACAATAGGGATATTTGCGAACAGAAACAGCAAAAGAAAATTCAAAAATATTTAGACAGAATTTAAAAACCTAGCCATACCGACAAGTGTGCGGTGGCACTGTATGTATAAAGGTAGCTAAAATACAAGATATATGAATATAAGATAGGAAACCGTGAGCTTGAAGAAGCTGCCTGAGTGAAAGCTTTTTATTCTTGATATCTTCTTGACAATGTAGAGAAACAATGGAAAACAGATTGTAAAGATATATCTAAAAGTATGGAACAGAAAATATGGGGATATTATGTTCAAAATGAACATTGCACTGGTGAAATCTCTTTAGATTA